TGCTGGAAGTAAGGTGATCTAGGATGGCTCGCTTCAGAATGCGTTCCATCAACTTGCACGGCACGCTAGTGAGGCTTATAGGCCCATAGCTGCCAGGACATGATGAACCAGATACATTTTGGTAACCATCTACAGCATTATTGTTCCCCATGTGTCAACCTACAGTGCCCTGCACGGCTTCACAGAGCTGACACCGGTTGCCAGTAAAATAATCGCCTTTACTGGTTTCACCGGGTGCCCGTGAACCTTGCGAACCCGTGATATTTGTGACCTTGACCCGACTGGCGCGATTTCGAGAATTAAATCCTAGGGATACGTGCTCGCTCCTGTAAGCTTGTCCTCGCGGGTTTTGCAAATTTATCGTGCTGCTGTCATGACGTCATGGGAGTTCAAATGACGCCGGTAGTTTCTTGATTAATTTATATCCCGACTGCAGCCCACGCACTTAGGTGATCCCGGACTGTGAACTTAAGTTTGGTTTTACGGTGCTTCCTCATTTGTACCACAGTATGACAAGGTTTGCATAATCGTGATTCCTTACGTTTCACTCTAGACACACGAAGCTAGCCAATTCTCAGACATGGTGTGTATCTGGACCTCACGGTAGTGCACACATTCCCAGCCCACATTCCGCTGACCTTTCAGGATCGTTAACCGAAATGCAGGCCTATAATCAGATGTTTCTACCAGCTTATATCGCTTCATCCTATTCACCCATACAAATGGCCAACTTACAACAGAACAATGCTATGCCTCTGTTTTCGTTCGGAAGGCCTTCCGTCAGCCCTTTCGATAATCCCAAATCTTTGGCGTTTGTTCACTCAATGCCTCAGGCTCTCCTAGGACATCCTCTTCCTCAAGTGCAGACTCAGAATCTGGAGTTCAGCTTGGGATGTTACCCACCACACCTAATTCGCTCCCACCCGTATTCTTTCCTAAGGCGATCTAATTCCGCAGTCTCCTCGCAGCATCCAAATATGACTGGCGCAACAGCGGGAGAAAACTCGTCGGCGCATGCCAACAACCATTCCACTGATGGAAGCTTCCGCGAAGTTCAGGAACCCAGTTCACCTAGACCAGATCACCAGCGCTCCCGCCCCTCATCGACCAGCTCAAACCAGCCCACATCCTCGGCATCATCCTTCAACGCTACGGGCGTCTCGGATTCCCCGCCATGGCAACACGATGCAGTCAATGTGGGACCTTGCACCTTACCTCCCACGAGTGTGGAAATACGTCATTTTGATCACTGCAACCCAAACACGGATCTTCAGAAGAATACTTCAGAGCACACTGAGACCGATCATTCAGTATCAGAGTAAGCTCCTCGCCGCGTTTTAAACCCTAAACTTGTTACCCCTGTTGGTCGTTTGCGAACTATTATGTAAGTGTTGCGAACCCGGAGCCCCCTGATGATTCTCTCTCACGACCATGGCTATTTTCATACAGGTAAAACGGTGCATTTTCAGACCGTATTAATGGGTCTTTTATGCATTAAAAAATTGTTCAGCTGTAGCACCCTCCTGGTTCCTAGCTGCCATGCCACCCGAAGGAAGTACGAGGGCTGGGATACTGCCAGGTTGCCCAAGCCTAGACAGGGGAAATCGAGAGGCAGAGGTCGGGTTCGAACTACGGACCTTCCAGTCAGTAAATTCGCGCTCTAACCACATGGTCCATGTCGCCCCCCTTTTATGCGTTACCATTTACTTAGGTACTCTAAGGATAACCCAGAAGCGTGTAGAGCCATATGCTACCACTATTGACACTATTCCTGCGAGGGTCGAGTAGTCCCAGGACGAGATTAGAAGGAAGACAATATAAGGACGTAATGTACGCTTTAATCGTCTAGTAACGGTAGTAGATGAGCTAAAAATATAGTGAGAATAACGAGCTAATGGTCTATGCAAACTACGGTTTATATAGTCATGATAAATATAAAGGGTCCATAACAGGAACCTCGCTGAAGAACACAGGTCACCCTTTATTGTCGTCTGACCCTTGAGGTTTGATTCCAGTTATTTACCATATGCCCCATTGTGTTAGTTGTCCATAGAGGGGGGGGGGGGGGCTCGTCATGTGGGGTGGCTTTTATTCTGTTTTAGCATGCTGGTTTGGACCTCACAACCCTGTTAAAAGTACAGACGCCATACCGATGTTTACCTCAACCAAACTAACTAACTCTGCGGTTTCATACTTCTCCACTGTTCGGTATGAGTTATCCTGTTACTTTATCCTTCTAGTTCAATGCGCAACATCGATGTTGGAATAGAATTCACATAGACCTGGAGCTGCTGGGATACTCAACTCAATGCCCAGGTAGTTGGAATAAACGGGTTGGAGAGCAGCTGGGCTGCTTAGCTCTAAGTGCGGTGGACTGCTACAATACAGTAGGATTACTAATAGAGTTTCTCTATATTCACCGGTTTCTACCTTGTGAAATCCGTGTCCACATCTCGTCACCATTTCTGATCGACCGGTGCGACGTACGTTTGTCGTGATGTTTCTACATCCTTGCGTTTCATGTTTGGGCGAAAGTAAACGTTTGTTTGCTCCATTCGCATCCCGTTTTCAGTCGAGGGCCACGCTGTGGGGTCATGCTCTTATGGGGAGTCGGTTGTTCAGCAGTCCCAAAGTGTGTTGAATACTGAATGTGACAGGCCACAAAATTCTTTCTTAAAGATTATATCGTGAAACCACTGGATCAAATGTGAAGGTGAAGACGAATTTTTCCTGTTATGGTGCCCTCCAGGTGAACAGCTGATCCGGTCCTAAGCGAAGAATATCGTGAAACTGCTAAATACCCGACAGCTTTTCAATAGACTGTTGAGTCAGGCCGCATTCGATCGTATCAGCGTCGCAATCGAGTGGTGTATGTATGTTATTCGGCCAGTTTGATCAACCTTGCTTGAATCAAGCGAATTGATTCCCGCCTTTGGAGCCAGTCTCTGTTGGAAAGCCCAGAAGCCCTGTGTGGCTGTTTCATCCTTATTGGTAATCATCTCTCACTTTGTCCAACCTGATGGACGACCGACAACCATAAATCGTTTGTATGTCCCACGGCGGTTTCGGACGCCAACATAAATTCGTTCTCCGGTGAATACTGAATTGAAGTGAGAGGATTGGGATTGAGAACTATACTCTAAAGGATTGAGGTGTAGATCTAATTATGACCGTGTATGGTTTGGGCATGCGCTATTTGTGTATGGGTTGACGTAAAACTGAACAGTACATTGAAAGCAGCTGGATCGCCATCCGACATGCGACTAGACTGTATCTGTCAGCCTATGTAACCATTGATTTGGCCCTCACTGGGGTCTTCGTCCATTTATCAGTGCGCCTGGTTTTGGAAGCAATGGCTTTCATGTTTTGTCGTCAGCTTGTGACCTGATCCATCATTATCATCATCATCATCAGCTGTAATAACCGCGTACTCGTCGTACAGTGATTATGGCTACCGCAGTTTCGTTCATCGATGATTGGGGGAGATAGGGTAGATAGCTGCACATTGGAGCTGATAAATTCGTGCGTACAGCACTGTCAGTGGACTGTCAAGTGGGGGATTTGAAAAGGAGCTGTGCATTGAAGGTAATAGCTTGGATGCACAAACCCCATTAGGGGCGCGACTGGGCCATGCCTGACAATGTCTCTAGCCATTGATGTGGCCCGTCTCGGGGTCCCCATTCAGGAAGACGGCAGTGACCAGCGCAGCTGAGTTTACTGGTAATGGCTTTCACACTTTGCTGCCAAGTCATTGTTTGACCACCTCTGGCTCTCTTCCACCCTTCACGTGGTTGTGCGAAAAGAGCCCTTCG